TAAATCAGAAAGCTTCCTTGAGTTTCTGGTTGTCCCCAAAGCACTGACTCATGAAGCCCACTTTTTTTCATACCAAAATAAACATTTGGGGTTTATTATATAGGCACAGACGAGTTATCGTAGTGTAACTCTTTTTACAGTTACTCCCTACTCAGAACATCAAGATAGAGGCAGAAAAGACTTTTCATAGATGGAATTTCAGATTGCAATACCCATTCTAGGTCCTCTGCAATAGGCTGGTTTTCCTGGCAAAACAAAACAAAATTTTTATTACCATATTCGTTAAACTCTGTTTAACTGAATATGTAGCAGGCAGTGTTCTAGGATCTTTGATATGCAATTTCCTTTAACTATCTCAATAACTCTATGAAGTAGTTATGATCATTTCATGCAGGTGAAGAATCTGAGACTAAAAGAGGTAAAATAACGTGCCCAAGGCTCAGGAATGGAAGGTTGGAACACAAAAGTCTTCCTTCTGACTTTGAGGTCTTGTTTTTGACCACTATGCATTGGAATACCAACGCATTTGATCTTCATAATAAGCCCATTTATTATCCCACTTAACAGATGAGAAAACTGAGGGTCAGAATTCAGTACCTGGTCAAAAGTTACTTTCATCTATGGAGTGGCCCCACACAAAATTAAATGAAGCCCTTCTCCTTCAAATCACCCTTTCCAATTGACTCCATGCTGCTAACAATGAAACATTCTTATGAAGTCATTATCCTTTACTATCTTTATTTATCTTCAAGTTATTTATTTGAATAAAAAAAGAATAAAACAAAACAAGCAAAAACTATGCCTCATTCTTACAGTAATCTAGAAAGGGTAGCTCTGGTTGGAAGTACAGAAAAGTGAGCCCTCAGTTATTTTAGGCCCATCCGGTAGCCTCCATACACCTTCTCCCTGTGGACTCGAAGCAGCATATGGCTGTTCTTTTTGCAGTTCAGGCTCCGCTGTTTTCTCTGAACCTCTAGGTTACAGTACGTTTTGTAATCACTAATAAGGACCACCTGCCTCTTGAGAGATTCAGCCTCACAAAACGGAGAAGCCTAATTGTACAAATTCCCTCTCAGGTAGACAATATGCCCTTCATGCGTGGACTGAGATTACTGAATAAAAAACCGAAATCAAAATAAACAGTTATACTAACTCATTGTAATTGCTAAGTTAAGAACATATGTTAGTGCCATAAAAAAAAAATATTTAGAACAATGAAGACAATGCTTTTGAGGAAATAAAACACCTCATGATTTTCCAGGAAAAAAAAAAAAAAGAATAACCTACTTTTACAATTTCTTTCACTCCACTAAGATATATTCAGGGCAAATTTATTGCACTCATATATGCAAAATCATGCACCCTCTGTGCACAAACTTATCCTATGGTTGAATTCAGTCAGAAAAACTGGCTCTTTGAAAATAAGCCGAATTCAATCCAATAACTGGCTGATAAATGCTTACCATTGAGAGTGTGAAATCTATTGCAAATCTGGTTTAAGAGAATAAGAAAGGATGGAGTACATGGGGAAGAGTGCCCTCCCCTGCCATCATCACAACCCCCGCCAGCCATCAAGCCAGATTCGGGGCCTGTCTCTGGGCTGCAGGTGCAAAACCAAGGACATACCTTCATCTGTGGCCTGCCCCACTGCACTAGAATTGTTGGTTTGAGTGTCCATCTAGCCTTCCAGTCTGCGAGCACCCTGAGAGCAGAGTTCACATTTTCACTCTAATCCCAGTACTTAGCATGCAGTATGTGCACAGAATGAATTTATCCAATCCATTCAAAAGTAACTACCTAGGTGACAATATCTAGCCACAGGCTACCCTAGGAAAAGAAACTACATACTTATATTAAATAAAGTTTACTTTGTAAGTGCAGATAGATTTGCTAAAGTATTAAGGCCAATATTAAAGGCAGGCAATGGGCTATAGGGACAAATGGTCCCCATTTTAAGTGAACATATTCTGAACTTGCTAAAGCAAACTCAAGTGCCTCTTCTGACAGAACCTTCACTTCTCTACTCACCACACTCATTCTCAGATCTCCCACTGACCACACAGAATCATGAGACACTGGATTAATAATAGGTAATGTTTATGGATGTCATGTGTGCCAGGTCCTAGACTAACTGCTTTACTGTATTATTTCATTTAATTCTTATTACAACCATCTAAGGTAGGTGCTATTAATGTTTCTTCTTTATAGACGACAAAACTGGGGTAAAGCATTTGTTTGGTGCCTTGCCTAAGATCTAAGCAGAACTTCAGTAAATCTGCCACTTTCCAAGGAACCCCTATTCCACCTTCAAACAGATGACTAATCCTGTTCCCAAGGAGAAACATTTTGTTTGTCCTGATAAAATTCAGAATTCAACCCTTGACGTATGACCTCTCTTCACAAACTAATTCACTCTCTTCTGAGAGTTGATTCTCTCTGTTTCAGTAAAGCTAGCATGGCTATGTAGTTATAAACAATCATAATCATGCATGAGAAATTATTCTTACAAATCATTTTGATACATTTTAGGAGCAGTAACACAATAATAAACATAAAACTTTTCATGCACCGTAAATGTACATAAAAGAGCAGCTTGAGATTCAACATAAAGTTTTATAATAAATATATATATAGAGAGAGATGTGTGTATGTGTATGTGTGCATATAATTATTTTAGGTATCTTCATATTATATATTAATGCACATATTTTTCAACCATTGAACTTTGTTATTTAAATCCTTAATCATAAGAATATAGCAAGCAGTTTGGCATTCATAAAAGTCAGATAAAAAGTAGCTTCCCTATTTTAACCCGTATCAAATTTTCTTTGTTGTGTTTAATTATTTTATTTCACAGAGGTCCACTGTCAAAAGGGCTTTTGCCAAGAAGCGATTGATTTTCAGATTGGCATCAATAACCCACAGAGTTATCAAAGCTTTGTTTCCATAAGTTTGGGTTGCAGGACAAGGGATAAGGTTTCATCAGGCTGCTACATGTAGTAAGGTGTAGATATGTGGTCTTACGAAGTGCAACCATAGTTGCAAATATGAGCTGTCTTTGTGCATTACTGAAAGCGGAACAGTGATAATTATCAGGAAGTCATTACGGAGACAATAAATCATAAATATCCTAGTTTTCTTATTTCTCATTATCTGCTTCTTTTCTGAGAACTATGGTGACTGGAGCTGCATAAACATAGCACTTCAGGGGCTATATTTGGACATACAGAGGTGAAAAATGTATTAAAAACACCAAATTGATGTCTTTCGAATGGGTTCAAACACAAGAAAGCACATACACACGTGTAAAACACACACAGGCAAGAATAATCTCTCTCCCCACCCTCATGTATGTCATAAGAATTTACCTTCCAGCTAGCATAAGCTGTAGCTAGGAAATGAAAATAATTATTCATTTAAGAAATGAACTCAGCCCTCACAGTGTTATGGTAGCTTTGAGAATCAAGAAGACGAGGTACTTTTACTAGAGGAAAGAATGTATTTTGACACTCTATTTTTTTTTTTTTTTTGCCGTGCGCGGGCCTCTCACCGCTGCGGCCCCTCCCGCCGCGGAGCACAGGCTCCGGACGCGCAGGCTCAGCGGCCACGGCTCACGGGCCCAGCCGCTCCGCGACACGCGGGATCCCCCCGGACCGGGGCACGAAACCACATCCCCTGCATCGGCAGGCGGACTCCCAACCACTGCGCCACCAGGGAAAGCCTAGACACATTTTAAAAGCACCTCACTGCCTACAGGGGAAACACTGCTGCTGTAGTGATTCCTCGGCCACTCAGTTCCTGTAAACAGCCCAATGTTACAGATGTATGAGAGAACGTATTATGAACATTAATGTTCATGTATGAAGGAACTCTGATCCTTAGCTGCGACCACAGAGCACACTCCTTGTTTGTCTAGACCAGAAGGAGCCGGCGTGCATAGATATGGCACCACAGGCTGTTAAATCTTGAAATGATTCCTTACCCCATGGTAAGCAGATGTTTCTCCAACCACTCCTGTGCCCTCCTTACGCAGCCACTGCCTGCCCTATGCCCTGTGACTTCCTGGGCCTCCCTATCCGTCAAGTTCAGGACGGGCTTCCTGTTCTGGAGCCCCTTATGATTAGTGGGCGCTGGTAACAGACAGCGCCCCCCCAGTGTCCTCGGATAGCCCCTCTGGAGGGCTGCCTGCCAGCTAGACTCATCTGAAAAGCTTCTCCTGCCGTTATCCCACGTGCCAGCCCCACCTGGTCCCAGCAGGAGGAGACAGAGCCCCGGGTGGCGGACGCAGCATGACACTGGGCAGGCAGATGACCAGCTGCCTTTGGCACCAGCCCCAGGCCCTGCGACCTCGCTGCCCTGCGACCTCGCTTCCAGTTGGGCTCTCCAAGTTCTCCTCACGTGGCCACTTGTAGAAACTGCAAAATCTGTGGGCCTTGGGCCTTCATGGCTCTCCAGGGGGACAGGGACAGCTGGCAGCCCTAAGGGCTGCTAAAATACTGACCATCTCTTTTGGGTACATTAACTTTCTCTGATGTGATTCGAAGAGGTAATGTAAGTACAGATCATGATTGACTTTCATCCAGCAGACGTAGCTGCAAGATCTCAACTTATGATGGGGCAAAGGTGAAGCACACTTATTAAGCACCAACTTTGTCATTCATGGCACAGTTTGTCACCCCTCCCCCCAAAACACACACATACACACACACTGTACAAAGGTTTGAACAACTGAGCCTTTCAGAAAAGTATAAAGTTTCCCTAAATGTATATTTAGTCACTTAAAAGAAAAAGAGATCTTTCATTAAATCCCTGCAGAGAGTAAATATCTCTACAGACATTTAAGACTTCTCATAACATTTTAAAGTTGAAGGATCAAATCATACATTTTCTGAAAATTTATTTACAAGAAGATCAATTCTAACAAATGTTATACACTTAAAAGTAAAGCGTCCCTCCTTGAGAACAATATACATAAAGTATAAGTTTATATTGATACTTGCTTTTAGATGAAGCTGATTGGTCCAGTGCCCAATGATTTTGTATTCTGTACTTTTGTTGGTTATTTGATACTGGAAGATATCATAACGACCAGGAGCGTCTCCATTTTCATTAAAAGTGACCGGTGTCCCAGCACTACCTATAAATGTTTAGGAAACAATGTTAACTTTTCAGTGAGATAGACCACTGGGCTTATTTCTCTCTAGGAAAAAAAATGGTAGATAAAAAAATATTGTGCATAGTGAGAGACATGAAGCTAGTAATCCATACAAGGTCATTCTTGGTAGCATAATATCTCTGACATGAAAAGAAGCCCAGACATACTTTCAGGAAGACGACGTGCTTCATTACGCACATTAGAAAGTAAATGATGAGAATCCAAGTTAGGCGACAAACGCAACAGTTAAATAAATAAAAGTTGATAGGCTGGACAGCCAATAGTGGCTACGGAGAATGGCAGTTAATAGAGAAGAGTGTAGACGCCTGGAAGCGTAACAGCTATTGTACAATATGAACTATGAACAGCAATTCAAAATGTGGCAGGAGAATGTCGCAGCCAGATTCCCTAGAGTTTTACTTTATTCTGACTTGAACTCCACTCTGAAGCAATTGCCGTATTCAATGTCTCTTCTAAGCCTCTGCTTTGGCTACCTCTGCCCAAGAGTCTAGCCATGTGGGCTACGTTTAGGATCCCCTCAGTGGGTGAGGCAGTGGTCGCTGGGAAGTCCCAACTCCGCTCAGATCATAAAAGTTCCCTCAGTTCACTGTGATAGTGCAATATAGGTGGGGCAGCAGGATGCAAGAAATGTCATCTTTTCTAACCTTCCATTTCTCCCAGAAGCTTTCATCTTTTTCTCTTAATAGCTTCCGCTCACTTTTACTTTCTCTCTCATTAACTTTTACATAATCACAGGTTTTAAGAGTAGAAACGGATCACTACCCGCATTGTTTTCTTGTTCCATCTATAGCCTCACTTTCTATATAGAATTTCCTTTTCTCTGCTAGCCTTTGGAGGCTGCCCACAGCACACACCTTCATCTTCTTGCCTTACTCTTTACTATCTTGACAAATTCGCCTGACATCAATCCCTTTTCTTTGTGTCAGTCTTTCTCTGCAGGTTCCTTTCCCTGAATTTTTTCTCACCGTATACCGGATTTAATTTCTATACTATACTAGAAACTGTCCCCTTCTTGCTATCTCTTTTCTATATTTTGCTCCCCCAAAATATATACTACTAATAGTTATACATGTCAACTCTATTTCCATCTTATAATGCATTCCTTATGCTACCTGGGGAGTTTTAAACTAAAACAATAATCACAAAAGTCTGAAACATTCCTCTTTGGAATCTTCCTAAAATTTGAATGCAGTGTGAAGTCTCTGATGAGATGCCTCGTATCTGCAAAAAACTGCTAAGGACACAAGAGATGGCACAGCATGGAGGAAAGAGCACTGTTTTGAGAGTCAAGAGCTGCACAATCATGCTCACTTTGCTTCTGCATTTATTTTCATAACTTATGTACTCTCTTTACTTGTCACATAGGGACTTAAACAATAAAGATGAACATATTTTTAAGTCTCAAAAGATCTATATGCATTTAAATTATTATTATTAGTTCACATGGGAAATGACTTTATATATAAATCAAGAAAGCAATAGGGAATTAGAGAAAAAAATAGGAGCTCTCCAATCAACCGCTATCTTAACTACTCCTTAGATACTCAAGTGGAAACCCATGTGCTATAATGGATCAAAACCTTTTCTAACTCCAAGTGAACGTGAGCAGGTTAACTTTTAAATCCTCAGATTCCTCATCTGTAAAACAGGAGTAATAATAACACTCATAGAGTTGCTATGAAAATTAAACAAATAGTTGCAAAGAACAACGCCTGTGGTAATTAAATATGATGATGATGATGATTCACCCCACATGTATTCTCAGTACATACCAATGCAGAGTAATAGACAGGATATTAAACATTCTTTAAGTAATATCTAGACAAAGGATTATGGAAATTCAATGGGTAAGAGATTACTGGATGGAAAAATACACATCAGTTATGAATTTCACATTAACATCATCAACAAGTGCTGACATTTACATATCATTTCAAAATTCTGATGTCATATACTCCATGAATAAAGTATTATTTACTTTTGTCTAACTAAATTCCCCAATGTTGTCATATTCCTCACTGAATGGCTCCTTAAGTCCTACAACAGCATCCCAATCTTTTTTACCATAATGATACCCTGGCTAGGAGAATGTCACTTGTGTAACACATTCTCATGAATGTACTCTGAGTTATAGATAATTCTTAGTGTGCTAGCTGTTTCTATATCTCTTTTCTCCAACTCAAGAAGGTATACTGGAAAGCAAGCTCATGAGAGCTGTATTATCACAAACATAATTGTCCAACTTGGATACCTCAATATAATTATTAATAGCAAGCTACACTAAATTTGGCATTGCACCAAGAGGCAATATACTAAAGTATACATACTATATAAAAGTATAATATACTAGAAATGTGGGTTTGGGGGCCAGATCATGGCACTCAAACCCCAGCTCTGGCACTTATTAGCTAGATGATCTCAGGTGAGGTACTCGATCTGTCTGTTCCTCACTTGGCTCATTTTTAAAATGGGCTAATTGTAATTCCCATCTCAGAGGGATATGAGGATTAAGTGAATCAATATACAGAAAACATTCAGTAAATAGTAAGCATTATATAAATATTAACTATTATTTCCTTTATTGTTTTATGGCAGTGCTGTGTTTGAGATCCAGGGTCTATTTGAGAGCATAAGAACTTCTCAGTGAGCATGTTTGGCTTTTCTGGAGTCACGCTTTCTAATCCTTGCTCTCTTCTACGAACACAAAGCCAAATATACCCAAAATCCAGTTCTTTAAATTCACCATGCTCTTTCTCACGATCCTGTTTCACATGTTATTTTCTCTAAGTTCACTTCCTCCTTTATCCTAACCTTTCTTCTCTATATAATTTCTTCAGGATGTGTCTTAAAGGCACACCTATAAGGATCCTTATCTTCTAACTCTGGAGCAGGGACCCAAGTGCCTCTTGGTGTCCTGTCCTCTATCATGGCACTCACTGCTCTCTGTACACCTGTACTATCCATCCCCATTCCTGATCAAAACATTCATTCAACAGATATTTACTGAGAGCCTATTACATGCTCAATACTGGGTGGACCCTCTGCCTTCCTCACAAGACCGTGGTCTCCTTAATAAAGGCAGAGTGCATTTCTCATCTTTGTGGGCACGGCACCAAAGACTGCTTGATATTGAGTGTGCAATCAATAAATTACAGTAGAGCATGAAAGAGGCACCCACTAACGAGTCCAAGCAAATCCACATTCAGCTTCTTCATAGCATTATGAACTTCACTTCTATCAGCTCTCAAATTTTTTTTTTTTTTTTTTTTTTTTTTTTTTTTTTTTTTGTGTTGCGCGGGCCTCTCACTGTCGTGGCCTCTCCCGTTGCGGAGCACAGGTTCCGGACGTTGGCCTCTCCCGCTGCGGAGCACGGGCTCCGGACGTGCGGGCTCAGCGGCCACGGCTCACGGGCCCAGCCGCGGTGGGATCCTCCCGGACCGGGGCACGAACCCGCATCCCCTGCATCGGCAGGCGGACTCTCAACCACTGGGCCACCAGGGAAGCCCTCAGCTCTCATCTTTTATGTTCACAGATGAAGGGACCAAATCAGTCCCTTTTACACTGTTATCAGTGTGATGTTAGAAACCACTCTTGCAACTTGTTTTACTAATTTGATTTCTGATCTTGGGCTAGGTTTGCAGTTGAATTACTTCAACCCTTTCAACAAAGAACTGATTCAATTGCATATTGGCTTATCTCAAATAATTGCCCTGGTACTGTGGTCTATGTAACAAAGAACACCCTTGAGTAACCATGCGAGGCTATGTCGTTTATTAATTTCAACAAGTAGAAATTTGAATGATCACCCTTTGTACTGAAACTGGGCACCCTGAAAAACAGAATTAAGTGGCATTTTGTCCAGAAAAAAACTTGAAATGACAAACATCTTGATATATCCATCAATGTATTATGGTTTACTAACAACACAAGTAAGAAATATAAATATATTTTGTTAGGCTAAATTCACATATATATATAGTAAATTACGCTCCAGCAAGTTTTCTTGTGTTTCTTTCCATCCTAGAGTTTAGTTATTTCAGAAATTTTGAAGTACACTAATTTTTTACATACTCTTTAATCAGTGTGGGTTAGTGGAGAAATAGAAACAAACAACATGGAGGTGGAGGTAACTTTTACTAGTCAGATACTGCTCTCAGAGTCTATATATCACTTTGGATATTTTCTGTTCAATATGAAATGCATGGAAAAAAACTGTATTTTCGTTACTAGGCATGTCAAGCACTCCAACGTGCTTTTGTAGTAAACATGACCTATCCAATGAAGATTTTATTTGAAAATATTGGCTCTGTTGAATATTGTTCTGGGGAAGATTATGAGCTTGGGATTCAGGGACTGGCGTTTGCTTTCTGGCTCTGCCAGCTCCCTGTGTAATCTGGGCAAGTTACTCTCCAAAAACCTGTTTTGTCAACTGTCAAGAGAACATTATAACCCCAACCTCCCTGGGCTATTACAAGGGCTGCATGAGACGATGCATGTGAAACACTTAGTATGTGACTGGCACACAACAGGTGTGCAATATGTGAAAACTATCATCATCATTATCCATTCTCTGCCTACACTTATGCTCCCTTGATCTACATTTTCTTGTTTCCACAATGCAAAAGGCAATGCAAGAGTAATTCATTCACCTTTATGTGCAAATATTAGATATAAATATATTTATAAGTGTAAGCCACTCAGTGTATTGTCATGTTTATTACTTTCATTTCTCTCTCTTGCTACAAAACTATCCCTTTTCCTTCTCATAACCACCTGTGCTATTGGGTAAGCAGGAAAAAATAAGAAAGGTAAAAATAAAATCAGTTAATTTAGTCATTTTTAGCACCCTTAAAAGAAGAATCAATATATGAGATTGAAGTCATTGACCAAATGCCATAGGAAATAGCAACTTTCATCAGAATTCACTTCCCCACTTCTGGATGAATAACTGTTTCCTGTCG